TTTAATCGAATACAAACATCAAGGTTTTTAAGGAGTGTCATGAATTGGTTTCACCTCAAAAGTCGTGACCATAAGGCTGAAAACATTTAATTTGGATACAAATCTGAAATGTAGTCCAATCATGCTCATATGTTACGTCAAACACATGGTGGCGTTCTATATTCTCTTGTGGTGCTATCAGCATTAAAATAATCGTTCTCGTTCTCGAGTTCCAGAACGACGACACCCTCAGTTCGAACGAAATATTAGTACAAAGCCACGACTTTACCCTTGATTATCACGACAACTAAAAGTCATATTCGAATTTGCCATCATGTTCAAAGCTGTAATTTTTCTTGGTCTTGCCGCACAGGCCGCAGCGTACGGTTCATACGTGGCCAAGATTCCCAATGGCGACAAAGTCGAGGGCGTCGGTGCCATCGGACACACCAACCCGTCGGGAGGCGGCCCTCGGAACCCGTTTGGACTGGCGTTCGATGAGGCCGACAATGCGTGGACAACTGAGTTGTGTAAAGCAGATTCGGACACCGATGGTGCCACCAACGGCGAAGAACTCGGCGATCCTTGCTGCACGTGGAAGGTCGGAACAACTTTGAGCACTGCAAAGGCCACCCACCCTGGCAAGGCCGACACTTTCACCCCCGATCAACTCAAGTCGCTCAAGTGTGCTACTGGTGGTTCTGGCAACGCAACCAACGCTACCACCACCTCCAGTCCGTCAGGTACTGCGGCCACCCCCTCGGCGACGCCCACTGCGAGCAGTGCTGCGTCATTGTCCGGCGCCATGTTGACTGGCGCTGCTGTTGCAATTGCTATGGCGATTCAACAATAGACGGCAGCGGAGCTGCACTTCCATATAATACTAACTACTGCAGAGATCCGTCGGCCGTAATGGAGGGAATCCCTAGGGGCCTTATTTTCCCTAATATGGGGTAGGGCAGCAAAAATACAATTTCCCTTATGGGGGGGTCATGCTTGATTGGCTACCATACTTAGGGCAATTCTCATCAATTTTTTCATCAGGGTCCGAAGCAAATAAAACGAAGAAACTCTACAATTCGTCGAATTCCGGTCGCTTTCACTTCTGACTTGCATGTAACACCAAATCTTGTACTATTGTGCTTTGCACCTTTTTTGGCAATTCCAGGGTTAAATTCATTGTTTAAAAATTTCTCAGGCTTAAATAATGTCTAAAGTAACTTGAATAACGGTTGGGTGCGTTGTTTAAAGTTACTTCATCTAATGCGATGATTGGTTGGTTGAAGGTGGTTTTACTGGCACTTTCGTAAAACAAGTTGTTTGCCGTTTTCATTCTGGCAAACAACTTGCTTTACGTCAATATGTCAAGGTGCTTGACGCAATGAAACTGAAGGAGCTATTGCCACATACATGACCTTCCATCCGTGATCACTACAGTACTAACATTATCTACTCCGAGTAATGTATATAACGTTAGGGATATAGTTAGGCTACAGTACATGTAGTCGTCGCTCTGTCCAATGATTCAAAGCTATGCCATACCTTCAACTCTTGATCTGCTCTAACCTTAGCACTGTTCGTGGAAGGCAAGGGCGCACTACGACTACACGATGTATAGTACTCCCATTTCACATCCTAATACGGTATGCATCGTGATGAACTGGTGGTTGTACGGCGTAAGTTGGCCTGGTGCTGCAACTCGATTAGTTAGCAGCTGAAATGAGGTAAGGGTTGTTTTATTCTGCTGAAATGCAGAAGTTGTGTTTAGCGTTATTTTATCTTCAATCGGGCTTATATAATTTTAAACGTCTGGTTGTTTAACGCAGTTAAACAACGGGCAAACTACATGAAAAGCACAATACGTACTAGTCGATTCTGCCATGCTTCCCTCAACTAATGCGCCAATGCTTTGTATGTGAATTTCTTCTTTAAGTAGTGGAGGACACAATATTGTATGAAAACCAAGTTTATTGGCTATTAACGACTTCGCATTTTAAATAGAAAATGTTTTTAACCAATCAGAAGAAATAATTCAGATTGACCAATGGGTGGTGATGAGAATCCCTAGGGGCCAAAAAGAATAGCCCTAAGTAGGGCAGAATTCGCCTTTACGGCCCTGGAAATGGAAATATTTCGCAGCCTCGCCGCCATTATCCCTACTACGCTACCGATCTCTGGCGGAGCTGCACTTCCATACAATACTAACTAAGACACGTGCATGTGGGAGCCCTCAACAGAATCGAATGCTTTGTAGAATCAATTAGAAACTGCCTGAGCCAACCAAATCACAGTCATGTCGAATTTCTGCCAATCCAAACGTTTGACCCCACTGCATTGGGCAAAACTACATATATACTAATCGTTGTATCGTATACTAGTACTACAATACCTCAGTCTCGGTTTTATTGCTCCAAACGGCATTTTTGAGAAACGAACACAATGTTTTCTGAGAAGTATAGAGTATGCGGTATGTTTGTTTCTAAAGAGCAGAACTCGGCGAATTCACTGTCAATTGAAATCAAATTGAGTTCAAATACATCCAATCAAATACGAGAAAGCAATCCGATGACTCCATACTGTGGCTCATATAATTGAAATAACCACGCTCAATAAAAACAAAGTACGGATAAAAAGGAACGACATCCGTGCATACAAGCCTCAAATAGTATTTTCACCGAAACTTCGCCAATATTACTCCAATTTTGATGCAATAAGGCTCAAAATCACCGCATTGATTGGCGCCGGTTTCAGGCCAAAAGGACAAGTTATCACGTTATCGCGCGAAAACCGAGGCATCGCTGATTCATCGGGCATTGTCGAAATTATTGCCATGAGAAAAAACCTCACGGATGTCGAACGGAACGCCGTGCTGCAGAGACTGCTCATTCGAATGCAACCCGGCGGCAAGCTGCCTCGAGGAGCCATGGTGGATGTGGCGCTGGAGTTCGACGTGGTGCGGAGTACTGTCCGGCGGATCTGGAAGCGAGCGTGTGTGAACGTCCATGGTGATGTTCGCCCGTGTGCCGACGTAGTAGCTATTTGGCGAAATGACTCTCATGTCCAAATTTGGGCGAAATGCCGTGGATTGGCTGGCCGATTATTTATTTTGGGCTGGGTTCTGCAGCCAAAACAAACATCTTCGTTGTCGTTGCAAATAATCCAGGTGAAGTTTCGCGGACAACGGCTCACCATCATATGATGCTTCACATGTCAAACGCAACGGTGAAAGGTGCCGTGCGGTTAGGAGGGAACGGGGATTGCGCGGAGGAGTCGAGTCCACGATGCTATACTGTACGACACTAGTATTAGCTATGTATATGTCACATGGTACATGTCCAACAACAAAGGGCGATATGGACAGATCACTTGAATTTTCGAATTTGCCATCATCATGTTCAAAGCTGCAATTGTTCTTGGTCTTGCCGCGCAGGCTGTAGCGCTCCCTTTATTCCCGGCCAGGATCCCCAACGGCAACAAAGTCGCGAATGTCGGTGCCCTTGGACACATCAACCCGGCTGGAGGCGGCCCTCTGAACCCGTTTGGAATGGCGTTCGAAGACGCCGAAATGATGTGGACGTTACAGCTATGTCAAGCTGATTCGGACACCGATGGTGCCACCAACGGCGAAGAACTCGGCGATCCTTGCTGCACATGGACAGTTGGAGCCACCTTGACCACGACAACAGCCACCCACCCAGGCAAGGCGGACCCTTTCACCCCCGACCAACTCAGGTCGCTCAAGTGTGTTGTTGGTGGTTCTGGCAACGCAACCAGTGCTACCACCACCTTCAGTCCGTCAGGTACCGCAACCAATGCTGCCACCACCTCCAGTCCGTCAGGTACTCGGGCCACCCCCTCGGCGACGACCAACACGCCCACTGCGAGCAGTGCTGCGGCATTGTCCGGCGCCATGTTGACTGGCGCTGCGGTTGCGATGGCTATGGTGACTCAACAATAGCTGTCACAATGTATTAATACATTATACACAAGTTGTATTGCATTAACAAAGCCAAAAGCCTGAAAGATGTTTGTGTTTAATGATGTCTTTCTTGGAAGCATGTAAAATGTTCCATCCTAGCGGGTTAATATTGCCTTTACTGGTTCCTTTTGGAAGAGATTTGTGTTTGCATGAGCCTAATCCGTGGCTAGCAATGACCACAACAACGCCACCGGCCTTACATTTTCATGTAAGCCAATGGTTTACATCTTAATTCACGACGCTTGGGCAACGCGTCAGGGCATCCCCACTGGTAAGACTGTATATTCGGACCATTGGGATGGTAAACTTTATTCTTACCGCTTTTGGGGTCAAATATGTGTCGTGGTGGCGAACTGTCACAACCCGATATGGAGGCTTGGTTGTGCAATGCCATCGAGGCATGGAATGACAACGACGAGGGCATGGACGACGCTTGGGAGATCCTAAACTCGAGTAACGGACCACGTCAAACACCGGGACCAAGAGCGCACGTAGGTTAAAGCTTAACACCCAACAAACTTGCTGCATTCCTCCAGTATGTTGCTCCACTGGGTAGCTAAGGATCGTGCTGTGCGATGGTAGTCCGGATCGCAATAGGTGCAATAGTTCGCGCCTACGCGGGCCCAAAACTGCGCGGCCTTATGCCCGCTCCCCTTAAACTCATCTTGGGATATGTTCAACCACGAACGAACTAGCTGGCAGTCCTCGTCAGTGGTGAAGTTCGCACCGCGAATATACAGTCTTACCAGTGGGGATGCCCTGACGCGTTGCCCAAGCGTCGTGAATTAAGATGTAAACCATTGGCTTACATGAAAATGTAAGGCCGGTGGCGTTGTTGTGGTCATTGCTAGCCACGGATTAGGCTCATGCAAACACAAATCTCTTCCAAAAGGAACCAGTAAAGGCAATATTAACCCGCTAGGATGGACATTTTACATGCTTCCAAGAAAGACATCATTAAACACAAACATCTTTCAGGCTTTTGGTTTTGTTAATGCAATACAACTTGTTTATAATGTATTAATACATTGTGACAGCTATTGTTGAGTCACCATAGCCATCGCAACCGCAGCGCCAGTCAACATGGCGCCGGACAATGCCGCAGCACTGCTCGCAGTGGGCGTGTTGGTCGTCGCCGAGGGGGTGGCCCGAGTACCTGACGGACTGGAGGTGGTGGCAGCATTGGTTGCGGTACCTGACGGACTGAAGGTGGTGGTAGCACTGGTTGCGTTGCCAGAACCACCAACAACACACTTGAGCGACCTGAGTTGGTCGGGGGTGAAAGGGTCCGCCTTGCCTGGGTGGGTGGCTGTTGTCGTGGTCAAGGTGGCTCCAACTGTCCATGTGCAGCAAGGATCGCCGAGTTCTTCGCCGTTGGTGGCACCATCGGTGTCCGAATCAGCTTGACATAGCTGTAACGTCCACATCATTTCGGCGTCTTCGAACGCCATTCCAAACGGGTTCAGAGGGCCGCCTCCAGCCGGGTTGATGTGTCCAAGGGCACCGACATTCGCGACTTTGTTGCCGTTGGGGATCCTGGCCGGGAATAAAGGGAGCGCTACAGCCTGCGCGGCAAGACCAAGAACAATTGCAGCTTTGAACATGATGATGGCAAATTCGAAAATGAGGAGACAAGCGATGTCCAGGAATGACTAATATGTCCATGAATGACTAATATGACTCGAAAAAACCATTTCGTTCAATTCAAGC